ATATATATATATATATATTATAATATAATATAATACAATATTTTATAAGGATATTCTCATAAGTGTGGTCTATTGGTAACATATACCCCTTCTTTTAAAAAGATCTTGGTTCAACATTAAATTTCAATACTTTACTTAGTATCTTTTTTTTAAAAAAAAACTTTATATTTTGTTATTTCATTTTCACCATGACATTAATTTGATTTATTTTATTTCACTTTTATTCAAGAGAATTGACACATAATCATTTTATAGTCCACAACACCCATTTGAGAAATTTGTTGATCACCAATGGAAATATAAAGAAACAGAAATTTCTTATCAATGAAGAAAATATGGGGAATTAAATGATTTTGTCATGCTGTGGAACACCCGAATCTCTTTTGGATGTAGATTCCAGACAATACCACAATAACTAATAAAAAATTCTTAATAATCTCAATTCTCACGTTAATCTATATACTTATTTTTTTTCCTAAATGTTTATCCCTTTCAGTATAGTATCTTTTTTATCTTTATTTCTATATTAAATTTTAATAAATTTGTACAAAATGCATTATCAACGATTCAAAAAATTATGTGAAAATTTAAATGATTTATTATATATTTTAAATATAATTTATATATGAAATATTTTCGTTTATCATAAATTTTAATTATATAATAAAAATATTTACTTGTTATAATTTTTTAGTTATATAAAAAAATATTTATCCTCCAAAAGGCACGTATGAAAATAATATATAATAATAATAATAATTATTATTTATAAATTAAAAATAATTTATATTTTTAAATTATATATTCATAAAAATTAATTATAATTATATCTATACTTATATATATAGGTATTTTTTTCACGTACACAATATTTTTTATAATTTTAACCATTAGAATGAAAATAAAAATTGTGTAATAAAAATAGTTAATAAAAATAAGACTTTTACTTTTGAAAAAGTTATTGCAAAATTAGCTTGTTTTAATTTTAGTCCTTATAAAATTTATTCTTTACTTTATATCCTTCTAAGATTGAAATTATTGTGTTTAGTCTCTGTTTATTAAAAGATTAAGTGAACACTATACATAGGGATGTCAACAGGACAAGGCGACTACATACAGTAGCTTCTCGCTACTCTCACCCCACCCCCAGAAAAATAGTTGTTCCACACGCATCTTCATATTTATTTAGGTATCCGTTAAACATGCAATTACGAATATTTGTTGATATTTATTTAAAATAAATTAATTAATTTTAAAATATTTTAATAATAATTTTTATTTATTCTAATAATTTCTTTAAAAATAATAGCTTAAAAGTCAAAACTTAAATTATTCAAATATTATATAATTTTATTATTAAGATCCTTCAATTTAAAAACAAGAATTAATTGTTAAAGTACTATATTCTCATAAGTTTAAATGAATTTAATATGTAATTATGTAATTGAATATTAGTGGGTACCGTATATACATATATTACGATACTCATATTAGCCTCGTTAATATGTTAGTATAGAATATATTTATATATATGTACTCGTTATTCATAGAATGATAGGTACCATTTACAATATTCATTTTTACCCATAATAGATTTTATTCGCAAATATACGTGGTTACGAATTTTTTTGACATTCCTAATCCTAGAAATTATATACAACTAACAGTGATATCATGTCCGTTTTGACACCACTAAAAATTCAAATAGATTTTTAAAAAAATGTTATTCATCTATCTTAAAATAACTATTAGGGACAAAAAATAATGAATTTAATTTAGATAGATGAAAATGAAAGAGAAATATTTTAAGGGATCAAACTAAATTTTATTTATTATATGAGGACCGAAATTAATGTTTAAAATTTTAGAAGGATGAAAAACAGAAGAAAAAAAATACTTTCTAACTTTTCAAAAACTAAAAGTATATTTAAGCCAAATAAAAATATTAAAAAAATTAAATAATTTTTAAAAATGACATTATACATCACAATTATGTTAAAATAATAATAAAAATTACTAGTCACCATTATCTAATTTTAATTTATGCAAAAGTAAAATTATTAATAAAAATGATAAATCAATTATATACATAACAATGATTAAAAATTAAGAATTATAAATTTTAAAAATTAATTCCATATACTTTATAAAATCATGATTAAAAAAACAACAAAATTATTCTAAATATGATATTTTAGAGAGAGAAAAAAAGTTGAGATTTTTTTTTAATTGGAGAATGTGGATTTCGGGGTGAGGAAACAAAAACTTGGACGAGAAAAAAAAATGAAGAATAACAAACTTTTGGAGGAAGAAGGAAAATCTTAGAGGAGTAATAAAAAAAATATAACTAAATTTTACCAAAAGAATGGAAAAGATAAAAATTAAAACTATTTATGTTGGAGATAAATTTTAAATTTAAGTATTTTTTAACAAATTTTTGCATAAACTAAATAATAAGTTATATTAAATATTGAAATAAGTTCAAAATATTTTAAGAACTACATGTTTTATAACTTTATCTAAATACTTTCATAAATACTTATAAAATAAAATAAATATAAATAAATTATATATAAATTCTTCTAAATGAAACTTAAATAATAATAACATGTTATTCAACTAACATTAAAGTGGAGTAGTCTTATTTTCACTATAAACTAGAAATAAACATGAATAAAAAATTAGATAATAATTTATATAATATTATTTTTGTGTTTATTTATTTTCATCATTAATAATATTTTTTTCACAATAAATAAAGTGATAGAAAAAATAAATAAAATCATATAAAAGTAATATTATCAACAATTTTTATTGTAATTAAATAAACCTAGTATAGTTAGTACTTAGTAGTGGACCAAAAAGGGGGCACTTATGAGTTATAACTAATTGAACTTCATGGATTGCAATGCCACTTGGCCATAACTGAAAGTACTGTAGGGTAAGTCTTATTATATCCAAAAGCTTCTTAGGTTAGAGAGAGAAAGAGAAAATGGGTAAGGGGGGAATGTCAATTGATGATCATGGAGAAGGCAAAGAAGAGAATATGGCTGCTTGGCTTGTAGATATTAACACTCTTAAGATCCAACCTTTCAAGCTTCCTACTCTCGGTATTCAGTTTTCATACACTAAGTAGCCGTATCATTTCATTCTCTCTCTCTCTTTTTTATTCAACTTCCTTTATTGATGATGATTAATTGCATGTACTACCCACTAAGATTATTTTTCATATCATTGGCTTACTTAATTCTTTGTTTTGGAAGGACCCCATGATGTCAGAATCAGAATGAAGGCTGTTGGTATCTGTGGGAGTGATGTTCACTACCTCAAGGTAAATATTAGCTATAGAATGAATTAAGAGATGTTCGATATTTTTTCAGTTATTTGTTATGATGTTTATTATATGTCTTACAATTTATTCAAAGAAAAATAAAAGTAAGAATAAAACCAAAGATTCAATCCAAACCACTTTAGATTGGATGAATTGGATTGGATAAAATTTTTGAAACAAATTAATTGGATGATGAATTAAGAAAACCAGTGTGTGATTGACTTGGATAATTTTTCTACTCAAAACCGATTTAATCTAATCTGCAAACACCCACAACTTGATGCATCTGATTTCAATAGGGAAAAGGGTAAGTTATGTTGCACTTTTTGGTTAGACAAGAGGATTTGAGATCTTGCGTTGGTTGGATATTTTTATTGGAGGGGTTATTTTCTGTGTTTATCTATGTTCTATCTGGTGAAAAGTTTCAGATATTATTTTGTTTACTTTCAGACACTGAGGTGTGCACACTTTATAGTTAAAGAACCAATGGTTATTGGTCATGAGTGTGCTGGGATCATAGAAGAAGTTGGTAGTCAGGTAAAGAGCTTGGTACCTGGTGACCGTGTGGCGATTGAGCCTGGGATTAGTTGTTGGCGATGCGACCACTGCAAACAGGGTCGTTATAACTTATGCCCTGAGATGAAGTTTTTTGCTACTCCACCAGTTCATGGTTCCCTGGCTAATCAGGTTTGAAACAATTCAGTTTCCATTTCTAAATAGTACAAATTTGAAAGAAACAATGATAAGATCTAGTCAAATCTAATGCAATTAAAAATGACATCAGTTGACAAAACTGCCTTAGAATCCTAACAAAACTCTGACTGATATTCTTGACTTCAGTTTTAAAATTGTATAGGAATATTTAATGTTATCTGTTGTAATCTCTTTCTCTAAATATTTGTACCAATTATCAGTATAATTTCACAAATGATTTTCATTTTAGAAGTGTGCAAATTCAGACAATTTAAGAATACATATTGGATGGTTAGATGCGCACAAGGGAACATAGTACATTATGAGCCAATTTGAATAAACTTGCACTTTCGGAAAAAATAAAAATAAAAAGAAAAAAATGAAATAAATTTCTTCATAGACTAAAACTAACCGATGCATAAGCTAATTTGTATTTTTTGGTGAAACTATATGAGAAAGTTTCTACAAATTAACTTATGCATAAACTAATTTTAGCTTATGAAGAAACTTATTACATTTTTTCTTTGTACGTTTTCCTCCTAGAAGTGCTTGTGGAAAATACAAACAGGCCCTATATCCATGAAACTATTTTTTATGCCTTCTTTGAGAGAATGGTGCATCCTTCAATGTTGGAACAGATTTATTTTTCACCATGGGCGTGGTTCACGCAGTGCCCCAAAGCTGACAATTAAAAACTAGTCTGCGCTTGCAAGACGTGACTTCTACTAGCCAAACATGTTTTTAACACAAATAGGAATCAAACCTGGGAGTACCAGGTTGACCTCCCATGTCCCAGGGCAGATCTTACAACCATTGGGCCTAGAGGCTTGGTTAACATTTGGACAAATTAAGAATAGGTAATTAAAAAAAAAACTGTTGTATTGTTTTAATAAACGAGTAAAATTATGAAATGAAGCCGATGACACACTGGTTTCATGTCAATGACTCTTAGTAACACAACTAACAAGTGGGAAACACCTGTGTCAATTCTCTTCCCTGCCATTGATTATATTCAGTATTTAAAAGGAGAAAATGATAATATAAGATTCCATTTTATCTTATGATAAGAGTATATCTCTTATTATTGCAGATTTGACAGCATTATATCTTATTATTGCAGAAATATTTGATAGCATGATATCATAGGACACTCTCTGTCTGTATGTTTGCTATAATTTCGGAAAGAATGTGTGTATATTTGATCCGATAAAATAGGAACTGAATTAAGAAAGTTATGAGGTAATTCAGGAATAACTGAGGGGCTGCAATATTATATCTCATGTATATATATTTGTGCATTCTGATCAATAAGAGACAGAGAAAAATCATCATATTATTTTGACATCTTAGCTCTTATTCACTGATTTTTCCCTTTAATTTTATATAGAAAGTCCTTTTTATTTTTTTCAGATTTTCTTTCACATTAACCAAATGGTAACAATCAGTGTGCACTTTTACACTTGATCCCACATTGCTATATATGCACAAAGTAGGTTGAAGAGTATGCTTTTATGAAATCAAGCTGTGGCCTATAAAATCCATGGAAATGTTTCTGTGTAGACCAAGAGCTGCATATCTTATAATTTTCAGGGATGAAATATACTGTCTGCTTGAAAGTCTCAAATGACTAATAGGCGTCAAAAAAATTATAATTAGTAAAGTATTTAATCCGAAGTTAAAAATTATCTATAAGTCATGCTGCTGCATTAGTATAACCAGATTTCAGTTTTTGTGCCATAAGATGATTTTCACATCACATGATTTCACAACACTGATAATGTAAATGATTGCTTTATAGTGTGTTTGAATGAGAAATTTTATAAATTTAAGAAATTTTAAATTCTTGGTATTTGAATTACTTTGATTTCAATTTCTATCATTCTTAAAATATTTTATTTGGATGAGTCAATTCAAATTTCTTAAATTTTAAATTGTTAGGTTGAATATGATAATTTGATTCTATCATAGTAAAATTGATTTTAAAAATATATTTATATGTTGAGATTTTTAAATTAAATTTTATAAAAATAAATATTAATCCATTTTTAAATATTTAATAAATTTAAAAATTAATATTAAATAATATTTAATAATTTTAAAAATATTTTTGAATATCCAATAAATTAAAGAATGAAGAGATAAGATAAAATATATAGGTAAAATAAGAAAAACAAATATGAAGAATTTTAAATTCTCTCATTTTTTTGGAGAATTTGAAATTCTACTATTTTAAGGAATTTCACAAATGCTTGGATTTCAAATTCTTTGTAAATTCCTCGTCCAAACAAAGCATTTCACCTCAAGAAATTTAAAATTCTTCAAATAAATGAATTACCCTACATAAATTTCCCATCTAAACAAACTATTAGATTCAAATGAACACACTTCAACCATACACATTACTTAAAATGTTATGAATAAAAAAATGCATGAATGTACTCAGCTTACAAGGTTGATATCCTCGCAAGTTGGAGCACTCAAGCTTGATATTTAATTTTTAACATGGTTTTCTTGACTTTAAATCTGTGGCATTTTCATTGGAAAGTGTTCTATTAAAAAATGTAATTGCTTTGATTCTTAACCATGTGATTGGGATTGAACTTAAGTTTGAGATAATGGTTGTCCCACCAGTAAACATCCAAATTAGTCCTTGAATTTGGAAGATTCTGTCTTCTTAGTTCGTGAAATTAAGAAATTGTAAAATATGTCATGAAAGTACAAATTCACAATCATATTAGTTTAAAATTCAAAAATAATGTATGGCTAGAATGATAATTATTCAGGGGTAAAAATGATTGAGTAGTTAAATTTAATGATTTACTAGACATTATAGGGACTTATTTGACAATTCTTAGTTAGAGACCAATATGACACTACCTTCCAAATTTAAGGACTAAAGTGAGTGTTTACTTGTTATTTCTTAGTTTGACAACTATATACAATCACAACTAGTAAAATATAATCATAATCATTGTTTTAGGTATGATATAATTAAAACCATGCTGTAATCCCCATACTCAAATGTGGGGAAAACTCCAATGAAAACCCATGTTTGAGTTGCCTTTTTCTCTTTACAGATAGTGCATCCAGCAGACCTATGTTTTAAGCTGCCAGACAATGTGAGCCTGGAGGAGGGGGCAATGTGTGAGCCCCTAAGTGTTGGTGTTCATGCTTGTAGGAGAGCTAATATTGGACCAGAAACAAATGTGTTGATCATGGGAGCAGGACCCATAGGACTTGTTACAATGCTCTCAGCTCGCGCTTTTGGGGCCCCCAGGACAGTCATCGTGGATGTGGATGACCATCGTTTATCTGTTGCAAAATCTCTTGGTGCAGATGATATTGTTAAAGTTTCAACAAACATTCAGGTATTTAAAATCTTTAGTTTCCCAAAATCTTCCATATTTTCTTCTTTAACAGCAAGAAAGACAAACAATCCCTTTCTGCAACACTATTTGCATCTGTTATTACAGTAATTTGCATGTACTTTTAGTGGCTGTTGATGCTGTGCCTGTTCACAAATAATGTTTTGTAAAGAAAAAAATTGAAAGAATGAAACTAGCATTTTAACATAATGCTGTAAGAAGTTAGGTGTGTGATAAGCAAAACTGACAGGCTAACACTTTTTTTCCTTGAAATAACTGTCGTTTGATCACTTGTTACTCTCTCCCTTCTGTAGTCAGCTTTTAGTGCTTGGTTTCTGTAATATATTTTTGAAACATTTAAATGTGTTTATAGGACTGTTCCAGTATGGAGGATCTCTCTAAAAAAACTCTTTAAATAGTTTTCCAAGTTCAGAACATTCCAAGAATAATTGTGTTTAGGTGTATTGAAATCCCAGATTCTCTAGAAATACTTTCCAAAAATCCCAGCACAATTACATCTAACCTAGTTACTGTGAATATATATAATTATGATGTTAAACCACTTGGTCTTTGTCTTGGCTAAATCTTGGTAGGTAACCGACACAATAATCTGCATATGTCCGATAGAAATAGTTTACTCTAATCAGGTCTAGAGATTACATAGAAAAACTTTATTATTTACAACAAAATAATGTATTGACAATAAAAATAAAAATAAAAAGATTTTCTACATAATATTATTTTACGTTTACATAAAATTCAACGAAAATTAATGTGATAAAACCTAACAAAATTTAATTTGAATTTCTATTATTAGTTCTCAAAATTTTTATTGGCAAGTCACGACAATTGCACCTATTAAAACAATCAAAAGAATTATGGAAATTAGTTCAAAAATCTATTGATAAATGAATTCTAATTTGTTAACTAATACTTATCAAATCTTTGTGCTTTCCTGGATGCTTGTATGAAATACCAATCACACCATATTCTAAAAACACTGCTTTACAGGATGTGGATGAAGAAGTTGTGCAGATACATAAGGCTATGGGGGCTGGTATAGATGTTACCTTTGATTGTGCTGGTTTTGACAAAACCATGTCTACAGCACTGAGTGCTACTAAGCCAGGTGGCAAAGTTTGCCTAGTTGGAATGGGTCATTCTGAAATGACTGTCCCACTCACCCCAGCTGCAGCAAGGTATGTGTCAATTTTATTAAAAAAATAAAGACTAAATTAATTCTTTGGTCTCTTTTTATTTAATTCGTTTTACTTAGTCTCTTTATTATTAAAAGATTCCATTTGGTGTCTTATGTTCTGAAAAAGGTACAATTTGGTCACTTTTGTCCAATTGAAACATTAACCCCTTGTATAGTTGGTACAATAAATAAATGACACATATTACCATGTATATAAGAAGTTTACACCGTTATTCACAATTGGACAAGAAAGACCAAATTACATTATTTTTAAAAATTAATGAACCAAATTGAACTAATTAAATAATAAATAAATAAAAAATCAAAAGAGTGATTTAACCAAAAATAATCAAATAAAAGCTTATATGCTGTACGTTTAAGATAAAATATATGCTATGTATGTTCATTCAGGTTTAGTAGGAATTTCTTTATGACAGAGTGATTTAAGAAAAATGCATGCCATATGAGTCGTGTTTATTTTTGCATGCCCTAATTTTTCTTCATTCATGTAACCTTTGATTTGGTTTACCATACATAATACAGGGAAGTGGATGTGGTTGGAGTTTTTCGCTATATGAACACATGGCCTCTTTGCCTTGAGTTTCTAAGGAGCGGCAAAATCGATGTGAAACCCCTTATAACTCACAGGTTTGGGTTTTCTCAGAGGGAAGTGGAAGAAGCCTTTGAAACAAGTGCTCGTGGTGGTAATGCCATCAAGGTCATGTTCAATCTTTAGATAATGGACTGCTACTTTACAATCTGTCTTATTATATGTTCATGCTCATGTTAAGTACTAGTGTATTGATCACTTCGGTTATGAATAAAGTGGATTCAAGAAGAACTTGTAGAAAATGTGAATGGCTACTGCAGCATCTACAGATTCAGTTATCATGTGGTGAAACCTTTGATTTTCTTAGTATGTAAATGAGTATTAAACCTTCAAATTTTTTGTTGTTGTTGAGAAAGTAAAACTACATTCATGGTTATTAAGGAATCATGAATGCTGGCCACATTACATGTTCGTCGCTTAAGGACACTACAACAAAATTTAGTATTACCGATAATTATTTAATGTCAATAAATTAATTATCTCTATTTTATTATTTAATAAAAATATTAATGACTATTATATAATGGCCACTAAAAATGTATTTACATCACATCAAAATTTATTATTAGCGACAATTATTTGTTAGAAAAAATTTAAGTTTCACATCGACTAAAAATAAAATAATTAAATAGTATATAAGTAAATGATAACTCTCACCTTACAAGTATGTTTTATAAGGTTGAGTTAGAACTATAACTTACTATTCTAAATTGGTATTTAGGAGATAAGATAATTAAAAAAATTAAAAAATATATACTTAAAAGATAACATTCATCTTCTAAGTCCCACATCAATTAGAAATAAGGTAACTAAAAAGTATTTGTATTCATTTTACAAGTCATACATCGACTAGAAATAAGATAATTAAATAGTATTATAAATCTGTTCTTAAATTTTTAGCGACAATTTTAAATGCGTAACAAATGACACAAAAAGTTATACATTTTTCCCGACCATTATGAGAGTCTTTACTAGCATATAGAATAATTGCCAGTAAATATTTTAGCGACATTGCATATAATAACTAATGTGTAAAATGCCGGTAAAAGATTTTGTAGCAATTTTTATTGCCACTAAAAATTATATTAAATGTCACTAAAAATCCATTTTATTATAATGGGACCACCGTGGCCAACATTTGTTGGTTCTTTATGGCCACCATTGAACTTCTATTTTTCACGAACTTATATATGTTCACGTTGCAAATTTCATTAGAAAATGTGTGTGATATTAATTTGGGTACATATTCTCATCACATTTAAAAATTCAAGATTAATTTTAGGCAAACGTTTGATCCACCACATTCTTGTAATGTTAGATCTTAATATAGTTAAATAACCTGATGCCAAACATATTCATACATATATTTTCATCATTATAATTCTTATTAATAAAAAAAACATACATACACATGTGGCACGAACTTTGCCTCACCTTAAACTTTGGTAGTATTGAGAAAATAGGTTAAGTTACATTTTTTTTTGTAACCATACTATTTGTACTAAGTATTCACGGTTGGAAACAATAATTAATTCTTGTTAGAGATTGTGAATATACATAAGATAAATATTCTCTTTCCAACATAATTTATTTTATATCTAAAGTCAAGATTTGAATTCTAAATAACTTAATTAAAAAATACAAGTCGTTATTACTTATGTTAATAATATTGATATAAATTATGTCCTGTTGATACATGTCTTTTCTCGATAGGCAAGCCTGAAATGCAAAATGCTAGTCAAAGATTGATGTACTATTTGGGAAAATTTATTCCTTTGGTATGTTATTTTTGGATTTCAATTTGATCTCTTATTTTATTTTGCGACAAATAAGCCCGTTTACAAACGTTAACAATGATTGCAAAATCTTCAAACTCCATCCAATTTTGTTACTAACATGTCCATTAAATGCCTAATTGATTAATTAATTAGTATAAAAATATTAAGTAAACACTCATTTTTGCCCTCGATTTTAAAAGGTTGTCATATAGTCCCTGAAGCTAAGAAGTTGTTAAATAAGTCTTTAGAATGTTAAATAGATGATGAAGGAGACTCATGGGCCAAGGGCCCAACTACTAGGACTATGGCAAAAAGGATTCAAGAAGAGTGGATTCATGATCAAGAAAAGCCCATCACACTTTTCAGTTGGGCTTTAGTTCAAGCCCAAGTAAAGTAGGAGTAGTGTAGGTTTGGGCATTAAGGCTTGTATTTCATGTTTAGGCCTTGTATTTCGGCCATTTAGACTAGGATTTCATTTCATGATTCATTTAGATTTAGGGTTAATTTAGGTTAACATGTACATCTTCATTTGAATGTAATTAGTATGTCATTTGAAGTGTATTTCAGCCATGTGCACACATGCACATGGTGTGACCGAAATGCAACTCAAATAGATACTAAATCACATCCAAATGACTGCACATGGAGGAGGTGACTGGTTGGCACCAAAATTTGAATTTTTGAATTCAAATTTTGGCGCCTAGAATTAAGTAAACCAAACCATGGTTTTACTTAACTCTAGGTTAACCCAACTTAAACCCTTAACCTAATTTTGCCTATAAATCTTTCTTTGACCGAGTTTTGTAACACTTTTGGATATAATTAAATGAGATTTCTTCATTTGAACTCTCTCCCTCCGAAAGTCTCTCTCAACCTACCTCTACCTTACTTGAGCTCCTCTCTTTGTAAAGCTAGGTTGCCATACTTCTATCCGGACTTAGCTTAGTCAAGGCTTGGTCACATTGTTCTTCTTGGAAGCTCCTATTCCTTGCAACTCTTTCAAGGATCCGAGAAGAATTTGAAGGCATTCTTGAGGATTCTTCAAGTAGAACCTCATCAATAAGTTTTTAAATTTAACTATTTACTATCATTTTAATTCTTAAATATTTGTAAATATTATCATTATGGGGTTACATATTTTTTCATGTTTTGGACTAATATAATTGTGAACATGTACTCTCAAAGACGTATTTTACATTTTTTTAGTTTCAAGAACCAATATAATTGAGTCTTTCAAATTTAGGAACAATTTTGGTGTAATTAGTCCAAAATTATTCAACTTCACTTCTCACATGTTACTGTTGGATTTCAATTTGGTATGCTATCTTTATTGTGACAAATGAGTCGTTGTGTTTACAAATGTTAACATTTGCGAAATCATCAAACTCCATCCAATTTTGTGAAAACATGTTAACGACACGTGAGATTTTCAAGCCAGTGCTCCATGGCAATGGATGATGCTTACATGACTCCCTCCTCTCCTCCCCATATTTTGATTTGATTCCATATTTCAGGAGGCCCAACCTTAAGAATTGAATAAATTGTAAGACATATAATAAACATCATAACAAATAACTGAAAAAATATCGAACATCTCTTAAGTCATTCTATAACTAATATTTACCTTGAGGTAGTGAACATCACTCCCACAGATACCAACAGCCTTCATTCTGATTCTGACATCATGGGGTCCTTCCAAAACACAGAATTAAGTAAGCCAATGATATGAAAAATAATCTTAGTGGGTAGTACATGCAATTAATCATCATCAATATGTTATATATAATAAGTGACACTGCAATCCATGAAGTTCAATTAGTTATATATAATAAGTGCAGCCTTTTTGGTTCACTACTAAGTACTAATAACTATACTGGGTTTATTTAATTACAATAAAAATTGTTGATAATATTACTTTTATTTGATTTTATTTATTTTTTCTATCACTTTATTTATTGTGAAAAAAATATTATTAATGATAGAAATAGATAAACACAGTAATACTTTTTCTGCTACCTAACAGGTATGCCTAACCTACCCAATATCATTAAAAAGCTAAACATACTTCAAAAGGCATGAGTCTTGTACTCTAGCCTGACAGACACATCAACTACATTATAAAACATAAAAGTAAAATACACATTATAAAATATAGGTTTACATTAAAAATTTTAGCAACTTCAAGTCTTCAACACTTCTTGAAATTTTTTATGGAGACTCCAAGCAATTCTCTAAGTCTTTCAAATATTATTTACAAAAGAGTTTTAGTTAATATATATATTAGCAAGTTGATGATTAGAACAACAATGAATTAACTTGATCTCATGATTTTTTGACAGCCTCAAGTGTGACATGAAATTTCACTTGAATATGCTTAGTGTTATATCCATGACACATGTACTAATTAGTACAAGTAATTCAATAATGAATGAGTATCATCTTTTAATGAAAAGGGAGTCTTGTTTGTTTTGACAAATGACAGACTTCACAATGGTCACAAGAGTCTTTATTGAAACCAAGAACAGGAGCTAAACACTTGAGGGCACTTGATGATGGATGACCAAACCTAGCATGCCAAGTGGTGGATGAGGTAGTGATGATGGTGGCAACAAAGGTAGAGACATCAAGGAAGTAAAGTCCACCCTTTTTATGGCCCCGACCAATCTCCTTCTTCGTCAAATGGTCCTGAAATACACAATGATCAGGATAAAAAAAAACAGAACAATTAGTAGTCTGGGTGAGTTTTGGCACAGATAAAAGGTTGAACTTGAATGAGGGTACAAATAAGACATCAGTCAAGATGATATCTGATGTTATGTGTACATTTCCAAAGCCATGTATAGGAACCGAATGACCATTAGGAACACAAATAGATTTATGAAGAGAAGAAGGAATAGGTGGCTGTTGAAAAGAGGAAGGGGTGAAAGAAACGTGATCTGTTGCGCCAGTATCAATAACCCATTCAGTAGGCATACAGAGGGAAGAAGAAAGAGCTAGAGACGCACCTGTGAGATTGGCCTTAGGTTGGTTTACCTCCCTTAATAGGCGAAGAAGTTGCTGTAACGAATCTGCAGATAAAGGATCTTTCACAGCATCATTACGTTGGTCAGCACGAGTGGATGAAGTAGATGACTGTCCATGAGTGTTCCCCTTATGGTAGTAGCGATGCCCTGGCGGATATCCGTGAAGCTTATAGCACTTATGCTCCGTATGACCAAGGATGCCACAATGCGCACATTTGGGACGACTGCGAGAAGATGATTGTTTGGCCAAAAAAGCATGTGCAGGTTGAGTTTGGAGGGCTGCACGTTCTGAAGTCAGTGGGGGATGTGTATGGGCCTTTTGAGCCTCATCTTGAAGGAGAAGGGAATAGGCATGAGCAACATCGGGGAGGGATGTAGTAAGAAGTAACTGGCTTCGTGGTTGACTGAAGCTGTCATTGAGTCCCATCAAAAACTGCATGAGGCGTCGTTTGTTTTGTTGGGAGATATAAGTCTCTTTGGCTCCACAAGTACAACCTTGGCAAGTGCACGTTGGTGGAGGATCAATAAGGGATAACTCATCCCAAAGGGAGCGAAGCTGATTGAAGTAGTGTGCAATTGAAAAATCTTGTTGTTGAAGAGTAGCAATATTTTGCTCAAGCTCATATATGCGAGGGCCAGTGTTGGAGGAGAAGCGTGCCTTGAGATCTGTCCAAACAGCAGCGGCAGATTCTGCATAAAGCACAGTATGGGCCAGAGAGCGATCAATGGAGTTGAGGATCCATGACATGACCATATTATTGACACGAGACCAACGGTGATAATCTTCATGAGTGGATGCAGGGGACGTTAAAGAGCCATCAACAAAGCAAAATTTGTTTTTGCCCTTTAAAGCCATTGTCATGGCAAGAGACCATGGATTGTAATTGTTGAGACCTGTAAGGACGTCACTCACAAGAGTTTGTCCAGGATTATCAGAAGAGTGAAGATAATAAGGGCTCTCCAGATTAAGGTTGCTGGAGGTAGACATGCTGCAGAGGTAAAAAAAATAAAATCAGAGTTGATTATAGAGATGCTTCTGATACCATGAAAGTATACCTCAAGAGCATATATTTCATTGATTGAGAGGCAAAATATATACAAGTGAATACACTGACCGTTACATAACATTAGGAGAGAAATAAGCTAAATCTCTAGAAACTAGGCAACTATCTTTCCTATATTAAGTAGGTATCCCAATTTAAGCTAATTACAATATTTGACAATAATTACAATCATATCAGATCCTTGATTGTGTAACACTAATTATACTAAATTAAACTATTGAGAATGAAACATTTGATTGTTTGCAGAAATAAAGTGTTTAACAAAGATAAATGTGATAAGAAAGCTTTTGGGTATTTTTATGAACACTCAAAGTGCAAAAACTGATTTGAACAAAATAATAAAAAATAAAAATAAAAAAACGTTGGGGTTTAACCTCATCAAACCATCTTCTCATGCTAGTTTTAATCTAGTTAAAAATTCTGAAATTATTATCCAACTCACAAATATACTCAAACCTTAATTCCTTACATGTTAGAGTCTAAGTTTTTTTAACCAAGTTATCAATTTCTTGCATAACTTAATCAAGAAGTCAACTTTAAAAACAAGAGTTTATGAATGACTAATAGCATTTATTTCATTCCTAAATATAAATACCATTAGTTACTCTACATCAGTACAAAGGTTCACAAGTATATTTTAATCACTTTAAGCCAACAAAATCGAGTTAATGGAGATCAAATCATAACAAATATTAAGCAAAGAAAACAACAATAATATTGAATAATAATTAGGTTTAATAACTTATAATGTGAACAAGAGAATAGATATGTTTACATCATACTCCAACAAGGGTGAACTTAACTACATATAAACATAGAGCACAAGAAAAATGAAGAAATGAAAAAACTTGATATTGAATCCATGAGAGTTCTTCCAAAGACATCACTGATGTGTCTTCAAATCCTTTGATTTTAGGTCATAAACCCTTATGTCTATTCTCATTAATGACATGTCAATATTTTGACACTAAACATTGAATTCCACGCTTAGCGTGAGACGGAGAATAAACAAAAATTAACCTATGAAATTGTGACGCTATGTGTGAAAATCTATACGTTACGTGGCAAATTGAATCAAATTTTTAAACTATCTAGAAGGTTGGCATTAAGCATGGGATTCCATGCTTTGTGCCAATTCTTAGCCAATTTTCTTATTTTCACTTTATGTTTCACCAAGTTTTCCACTTGCTTCTTTCAATGTTTTCCTTCCTTTTCCTTCTCATCTACAAGATAACATCAAAAAGCTTGTAAATTTCCTAAAAGTTAAATTATAAAACTAAAGTTAACTTTCTACAAATTAAGATAAATTTGGATCAAATTAAGGTTTCAAAGTCAAAGGAAATTAAGATAAGTGCTTCAAATTATACTATAAGATTAAAGTAAATATGGCACTTATCACTTAGTTTTTCCATGTTGGATTGGATTTTCCACAATAGTAATTGCTAACTTGTCACAATAAATCTCAATGGCTTCTAGTTGCTTTGCTCCTAAATTAAGAAGAATTTTCCTCAACCAAATAACTTGGTTTGTTGTTGTAGCCCCAACTGCATATTTCACTTTAGTAGTGGATTGAACAACTTCTTGTTTCTTTGAGTTCCATGGGAACATGCCAAAACTTATGGAAAAAACATAACCTATAATGTTCTTCTTGTCATCAAGGTTTTCTGCATAATCACTATCAACTTAGCCAATTAGACTCACATTTTCACTTGGTTTATACCATATTCCAAACTAAGTATTGTCTTTCAAGTACTTAAACACTCTCTTTGCTTTAGCAAAATGTATCTCACTTGGACTCTACATGAATCTTAAGAGTGAACTATTTGCATATGTAAGATCAAGCCTAGATGAAGTGAGATAAATAAGGCTTTTATAAAGATAAACACCAACCTTTTGAGCTCTATCTTCCTTGGAGGGTTTCAAATTTTGCACCAAAGGAGTAGGGATAGATTTGCAACTTTCCATTTTATACTTCTTTAAAACATCATAAGCATACTTTTCTTGATTCTTACAAATACCATCCTTAGTTTGATGCACTTCGAAGCTAAGAAAATAGTCCATTTTTCCTAAACTGGACATTTGAAATTGATTTTGCATCTCTTCCATATGTGTTGCACTTCTTGTTGGTTATTGCTAGTCACTAGTAAACCATCAACATACAAGAAAATAATCAAATAACCATTATCTTACAACCTTTTCACATAAAGGTTTGCATCATTTTCACTCCTTTTGAAACCTTTATTGTAGAAATAGCTATCAATTCTATTATACCAAGCTATAGGACCCTCTTTTAGCTTATACAAGGCATTATAAAACTTATACACCTTCTCTTCACCCCCTTTTACAATAAAACTTTCAGATTGAGCTACATAATTTTTTTTTCAGCAAGGTTACCATTTAAGAATGCATATTTGATACCTAAATGCCAAATTTCCCATTTCATTTGAGCTTCCAAAGCTACAAGAATATGAATAGTGCCCATTCTTACTACCAGAGCAAAAGATTTTGTGTAATCAATTCCAAGTTGTTGAACATAAGCTTTAACAAACAAGTCTAGCCTTGTATTTATTGATGGGTCCATCGAGGTTCAACTTTGCCCCATAGACCAATTTCACTCCAATTAGAAAACTTAATTTAGAATCAGAATTGCGCTTAGAGCCTATCACTAGAACGGAAAATACAGTTGTGATCAAACTTGCCACGCCAGTAGGACTTGTGGGCAAAGCAATAGATTTGAGTTTATCCTTATGGATTGGGAAGTCTACCTCACCCTCGGGAATATGTCCCCACCCTCCTAGATTTTTCTAATAACTATATGTAAAATATTTGCAAATATTGAACTTGCCCCCTTTATTTCATTTTTGTCCCCTTCTTCTCTTTAAGTAATAAATTCGACTAAAAAACACACATGCTTCTTTACAAAGCCCAGACTTATCAGAAGTGTTCAAGTAATAGAACAGTTAATTCCAGTTCTATAGCTTCTTGAAGAAGTTAGTGAAGTGGGAAGGAAATGTTGTCTGAGAAATTGAAAAGCCAATCGAGGGGAAAAAAACTAAAAGTAATAGTGATTTATTGTTCTCTCTCTACTTCAAATACTAATGAAGCTCCAACTCCAGAACCTCTTTCCTTTTGGCTCATAACTTATTAGTTCTACTCTATAAAAGGGTGATTTAAAAGAGCTGCTATATCCAGATTTGAGTCATTTTTACCTTGTATCCTATTCCCATGCCTCGTTATTTTGGAAGATTGAAATATTTTGATTAGTATTATCACCAAGGAATGAATTTAAACACTAAAGTACAACATATATATGTCCCTTTCTGGTCAAGTCCCGATCTGGTTGTATGCAAAACAGAGCCACTGATCCATTTTCATCATCAGAAACTTGACCACATTTCTTATATTTTCCAAACCACATGTGAGAGGATATGAGCATAGTTCAAAAAGAGTAGTAGCTGGATCATTGATACCAAAGCTAAAAACTGAATCCACACAATTATTAGACATCGTCATTTCAAACTGGACAAGCAATATCATATTATAATAAAACCAAGTATACAAGGGGAAAATAATAAATAATTTAATACATACATGCTCTTCATTGTGAGTATATGTCACTTCCAAGTTTCCACTTTCTGTAGCATACCAGACCTGCAGGAATCAAATAAATATCAAACAAACAAAAAATCCAGAACTTACATACAGTCTATACATGTACTGATGTACAACTATTAAATAATGTGAAACCAACCTTCACTATTTTGTCCAATGAACAAGATAAAAGGAATTGGTCCCAGCAGAGAACAGACATCACAACAGATGTGTGCTCTGTTAGTGTTTGTAAGCACTGCAAGGTTTCAAGGTTCCATACCTGAAAGACAACAAATAGTTGGAATGTAGCAAATTAACAAACCAAAACCTATTATTACATTACTTATAGAGTCTAAAGGAAAATGAATCAGACACTTATGGCAATTGGCAAAGAGCTTCTGTAAACTTACTCTTATTGTATTGTCCATTGAATCAGTCCATTGAATCAGAGTACAGTCTATTAGCACCAACAACTAATGAAACAACACCACGAGAATGACCTTTAAGTGATGCAGCCGGCTCAAAGCAGTTGGTAACTACATTAAACTTCCATGCCAATATAGATCCATCCTGCAGAAGTATTTCATTCGAGATTAAAAATTAAGATGGTATTCCAAATGTGCAGACAAGTTAGAACTTTTTCTCATGTATTGTTCACATTTTCAATAATAAAAAATACAACAAGCTTTGAAACATGTTTGATCGAGTTTAACAAAAGTATTTCCCAAAATCATTGAAGCATAAATTCATTATGAATTTAGGAGTTAAAAGGCATCCAGCTGCCTTAATAGTTAATACTTATTATACAGAACATCGTGCAATCCTTCACATATCCAATATGTGATTCAAGATATCACATCTCCCCCAAACAAATCCCCAACAAGTCCTTAGACACAATCAATGGCCTATGGTCCAAGCCAAGACATCCACCAGTGATTTGAAATATCCCACATATCAAGCTGACGATTGCTTCAATATCATTTTGTTGCACCTCAAGCCAGACTAAAAGTAAGACAAATCTTCTTGGCCAATCACGTGGTGTAAAAGCCCTAAATTTTACAGTATTCCAACTTGAGATTTGTGATATGACATAATTATTTACAATCATATCATCCTTCGTCTCCCATTCATTTCCCTTAGGGTATGTTTGGGAATAAGACTTAGGAGGGAAAGAAAACGGAGGACAAATTTTACATTTCTAATAAATATTCTCTACTTAGATAATTTTTTAAAATGAAAGATATAAGATGATAGAATAGCAAAAAACTTAATGATCTAATCTTTTGATTGTTTTTATAAATTTAACACTTGATTTAAAAATAAAAAAAGTTCCTCTTCCTCCCATTTCCCTCTAAAGCCCCATTCTCAAGCTTAAATGTCGAAAAAGTGTGCAATATCTATGTGCAAATCTGTATCTGTAATTTGGGCAAAGGCAAATAATCTTAAATGTTTTTCCTTTGATGTCTTCATTTCCCTATCTCAGCATTACTTATCAGCTACAAAATTAACCTCGGTATTATCATCCCTAAGTAATTTCCAGACAATAGGTCCTAAGCACCGTGAAGATAATCTACATTGAGATCAGGACTACAGCATCAAAAAATAAAGCAGGACTCTAAATAAAACAAAAACAATGTCAAAGGGAAAAGAAAATATTTACCTGTGTACCGGCAAAGAGCATGTCATTATTCACAACAAGTGCATAAACTTGTCCCAACAGGGCCATTAAGACTTAGCTCCATTAAATTTTGTGTGTTCCAGGCCTGCAGCACCAATGCCATCAACCAAACGGACATCAGTTATGATGTTATGAACAGTGGAAGAACATACCTTAGCAAAAACATTTCACTAAGATATACTTTATTTAAAAAATTACAGAGTACAAAATTAGAGAAAAACAAAGGCGATGCCTATTTGTGTTCTTTCTTACCTTAACAAAATTGGGTATCCCAACAAAAACCCAGGGGCCTTCACTGATCATACAACCTACATCACCACCAAGATTGATCACACCTATACACTGCAAAGGAGCATAAACAAACAAAATCAATATCAATCTCACCTTTTCAACAAGCTCAAAAAGAAACTATGAAAAATTAAAGAAAAATACAATGTTCACTGCTGACTTTGAAATTTGAAAACAAAATAGAGAGAAGACAAAAATGAAGCCAATAACAATAGTTTAAAAAATGAAGAACCGTACAATCCCCTGTTACACTAAAAATATCCTTGTTTCACATTAAAAATGATGGGGAAAGCAACAATATTGGATAGTTTAATATCAACATAAAGTATTGGAGAGTAAACAACAATATTGTATCGTGGGAGGGGTTGAAGCAAAATTGTGATGGAAATTGATCATCTAGCGCTTCTTCTCAGCAAAATAACTATGTATTTGAGAGAATCACATACATTGCTGTTCAACTTTAAGAAAATGGGAAATGCTCCCACACCCAAAAATATTCCCCCAAGGTAATTTATGGAGTTCAAAAATGATCAAATACATAAGAAAACTAAAATATCTAGGAAACAACAAACATTAGTTTCATAAAAATACTGCAACCAAACAATTTGATGTAAAATAAATAAACAAATCAGTTGTGATGATAAATGCATCAGGAAACTCAATAAAAAAAATTGCAAAAACAAGTTGCACAAATATATGATTTGACCCAGCATTTACACAGGAATTTTGTGACAAACACCTGGTACAGACAAACAAAATTAAAACTAAAGTAAGAAAAAAAAAATTCTCCTATTCCAAGGATACAAACAAAATCATGAAGCTTAACATTGAAGGAAAAAGCACAGTTGTCTGTAACTATAAAATTGAAACAAAACACAAAAAAAGAAAAAATAACAACCTTTCCAGACTGGCAGTCCCAAATCCTTACAGTCTCGTCAGTGCTTCCAGTATAAAGCTTATCTGAACCAGAGGGAAAGGCAATCGCACTCACAGCCTGTTCATTCAACAAAACCACAACTCATCCCATCAATCCCAATCACCAAAACACGCACACTTGTATCAAATATCAATTTTCACAAAGAGTAATGTCAACATAAACCCAGTTCACACTTCACACTTAAACCATATACACAGCAGCACATCCACCATTTAAATCAAAATGAGAATTATAAACACATGTACATCATAATGATAAATAGGTTGCCATGCACAGGTTTGAAAGAAACAGCCCGCAACAACGATTTCAGCCACAACATCAAAAATTTTAACATTTCCCCACAACAACAATGGCATCCGCCTTTCTCTGCAATTTCCCCTCGAAATCAAGAATCACAACTAAACTGCAACTGCGACCACGTAATTCAAAACCTTGCACTATCAAGCAGGGTATACACCATAGCTCCTCTAAAGCGAGCAGCTCACTTTAGAGAGTAAATTAAATAACTCCAGTTGTCGATTGTAAGAAATTCTACCAAAGTACATAATTTCAGTCATCAATGAGAAAATTAACTACCAATATTATCAATATCAGTAAAGTACATAATTTCGGTCCTTGACAAGTACATCAACAGTCAACATTACGTGCAAATTCACAAGAAATCCACATCAACCATTGATTTCCTAATTAACAACAAACAAAGATTACTTATTCACCACTACTAAAGATTACTCAAGAGCCACCCTGTCCCTACTTAAGAGATTTAACTTGAATGCTATGTCATCTACAATTCCAGCAGACTCATGATCCTAGACCATGGGTTTTGAAAATGCAATCAGCACCTTTCATTGCCTAACAACAAAGGTAGCTTACACAAACTAGGAAAATAACAAAAAGTCAAAAACCAAAGAGCTAATAAGTCATAAGCACTCCCCACACAGAAGAACAGAGTGAAGCACAGCCTTCTGGTTTCTGTCTAGATTGATATTTGCATGGCCACAACAAGCTTGTCTCCAACAAGTAGTTCAATCATAGCCCTTTCCTCCAAATTCACAAAGCCAGGTAGCTTAAAGCACAAATTGGCATGATGCATTCCATGGTAATTGAAATGAAAAATCACTTGCAAAATGGAAAATTTACTGAAATTCAATACGATCATTTTGATTGTTAGATGAAAAAAATTAAAAAATATACTGGTTATTAAATATACGCCAAATCTAACCATCAAATCTTCAATGTTAGGCTCTTGTCTTTTATTGACAAGAACAAACACTAGTGATTTTTGCTAATTAACCTGTCCGCATCTACTATAGATATTGCCTTAGTGCAGCTGCTCCTTAGAATCCAACTATCTCCTGCATAAACAGAAATAAATTATTTACCCCACATTGTTAACATGGACTAATTAACTACCCTGTGAAGAATGTAATGGTAGTTCTATAAGATATTGTCAAAATAATACAGTCTTTAGTTTTCATCCTATCAGTGGTAGTGTGGAAAAAAAATGAATTGGTCCTCTAAAAAGCTTTAACAATTTCGTGAGAAAAATGTAAAACACAACAGAATGATAGAAAAATATCCTAGTAAAATAAGACACGAAACTAAACTGACTGAAAAATTTCACCCTAAAAAAAATGAATTGGTCCTTTAAAAAGCTTTAACAATTTCATTGAGAAAAATGTAAAACACAACAGAATGATAGAAAAATATCCTAGTAAAATAACAGACGAAACTAAACTGACAGAAAAATTTCTCCCTAAACCCCAGATGAAACACAGATTAGTCAGAATTGGATTGAAAATAGTTAACATAATGACCATCAATAGATTAAAGAAGCTGATTCATTGGAACACAATTGCATATATAAACAATTGAAAGTAGGTTAGGGATAGTAAATACGAATAAAGAGAATGAATGATTGACTACTTTTTGCTTTCAATGAGTTATTTATTAGTAACAAGAAAGCATCTCACCAAGTTTAACTCTTACAATAAGCCTCTAGCAATCATTTCTCGGAGCAGTTTCTCAGCCTTGTCATTCTCATCTTTTTCAAATAGAGCAGAAATAATTATTTCAAAAGTTATAGCATCAGGGATGCAACCTTTCTCTTCCATTTTTGACTGCAAGGCCAATGCTTCATCAAACAACCCCACTTTACAGAGTCCATTGATCATAACATTATATGTCCAGACATTCAGATGATGGCCCTTAATCAAAAGATACCGAAAAACTTCTTGCGCTTTCTCAAGTCTTCCACCTTTGCACAGTCCGTTAATAAGTATTGTGTATGTATACTTATCTGGCTGAATTCTACGACTATTCATTTTCATGAATAATGCAATTGCTCTGTCTAGATAACCATTTTTGCATAAAGCATCCAATAAGGAATTGTAGGTAATTATATTGGCAGGTTGACCTCTATCATGCATCTCATCAACAAGATTCCAAACATCAGCTATCCTCCCCGATTTGCCCAGACCATCAATAAGTGAATTATATGTTACGACACCAGGAATCATATTTTTGCGTTGCATGTCTTTAAAAAGATTGATGGCTTCATCTATCATTTTCTTCTTACATAATCCATCAATCATGATAGTATAGCTGTAAACATTAGGTGCCACCACTCCTATTTGGGACATAGAGTTGAATACATGCTTTGCTTTTTTCACTTCATTAACTAGGCAGTATCCGTCCATTAATGTATTATAAGTAATAACATCAAGTTCCACATCTGATTTTACCATGGAAGCTATCACAATTTTAGCTTCTTTAATCTTTCCTTCCTTACATAATGCATCAACCAATATGTTAAAGGTATAAATATTTGGGTTGATGTTTTTCAATTTCATATCATTTAACAAAGCAATTGCTTCTTTGAAATGATCCATAACACAAAAGCCATACATTAAACTACTGAAAGTGACAACATTTGGAGAAATCTTTTTGACAAGCATTTCAGAATACAAATTACAGGCATCAGCAACAAGTTTATTTTTGCATAAGCCGTCAATGATTGTGTTATACATTACCACATTAGGCTTAATTGAATGCCCTTCAATCCTTTTGAGTAACTCTATGCCAGCCTTTGTTTCTCCTGATTTACAAAGACCATTGATCAAAGTCCCATAACTAACATGGTCCAACTGAAATCCTTGAGCTTTAAGGTCATCATGAAAGTGCAGTGCTTTCCTAAGCTGACCACAAAGACATAAACCTCTGATGAGTGTTGTGAGGGTTATTGCATCTGGCTTATATCCCATTTTGAGAATCTTGGCGAACACAGAAAAGGAAAAATTGATGTGACCGAGGTGGCAGAAGCAATTGATGAGGATGCTCAAAGTAACAAGGTCTGGTGTAATACCTTTGAATTCCAATTGTTTGGAAAGGGAAATAGCAGTTGGGTAATGATTCATCTTGACAAGGGATCCCAAAATGTGGCCAAAATGGAAGATGGGTGGGGAAGGATGCATATGGAGCATGCGATTGAATGAGACAACGGCATCGTCGTGATTGAGAGATTGAGAGTGGAAGCTTGCATTTGCATAAAAAGGAAGAAACTTTGGAAACCTAAACCTTAATACTGACAAAGACATTGATTAACCGATAATGTTGAAAATGAAGGTTTGCCCACCACTCCAATTGAAAATTCATTCGAATGACATTCTTTACGAAGAAAATTATGTAGTTCTACACATGCTAAAAATTATTGTAAACAAGATTTCAAATTTTTTATAATTTTAAATTTAATATATTTTATTTATAAATTTATAAATGATTAAAAAATAGTGGGACAACTACCTTACTCTCTTATAACTAAATATGTCCTTGCATTTTATATTGGTATTTGAGTGAAAGTTTGTCTTTCATACACATTTATTCATTTACAATATCTTAGAAATTTACAAACATCAACTAAGAGAAAAAAAAATATCTGAAATTTGTTATAGGTACAAAATATCTCTATTTATTGTAACAACCCGGCTGGTCACTACACACTACACAGTACACCTAAAAACCGGACAGAAAGGAACAAATGTATACATATAGTGTCTAGAATATACATATATACATGGTCCAAGTCTGACTAGATTCAAAATGTACA